CTTTCCCCTGTGTCGCCACCGTGTTGTCCACCCCCGACGGGTTGCCGTGGATGAACATCTCGTAGACGTAGGCCCACCGGTTGATGCGCTCCAGCTGGATGCGCGCCTCTTCCGACGGCTGGTCCGGATGCGGCCCGGACAGCGTCCTCAGCTGCAGCAGCAGCGCGGCCGCCATGCACACGGCAATGGTCGCACTGCTCCCCAGGCCGGCGCCTATTGGGATCGTCGAGCGCAGCGTGTACTGGCATCCCGGGAACGACTGCGACCCCAGCGACAGGAACATGTAGAGGAACGAGCCGGCCGAGTTCTGGTGCACCTTGCGCAGCTCGGCGGGCTTGTCGGGCGAGATATTGCCGACGAGCGGCTGGATGGCGGCCACGAGCTCCTCGTCGAGCGTCGTGACGAGGTCGTAGTAGTACTTCTTCTTGGAGGGGTGCTGGAAGGTGGACCAGGGGAGCTCGTCAATGTTCCACGTGTGGTCGAGGTCGATGTCGGGAAACTTTAGCGTAACCGTCCTCTTCGACTTGGACAGCGTCGTGACGAGGAGGTACGACCGCAGCGAGATGGCGGCAGCTATGGCAGCCTGCATGCGCCAATGGGATCAGAACAACGCATCGCCAGCGAGAAGGGGGGATGGACTAACCTTGCCGTGGACGACGGCGTGCTCGCCAAACACAATCACCTTGCCCGGCGCCGAGACCATGAACGTGGGTGCCATGGGGCTCGACTTCTTGCGGTCCATCCTTCGTTGCGGGGGGGGTTTTGTTTCGGTGCCGTTGGTGCTGCCCTCGCTACTGCTGATGTGGCCATTGCTGTTGGCGCCCTTGCCATTGATGTGGACATGTTCAAAGTCCTCGTGGAGGGCGTGGGCGTCGATCCCGTTCCCGTTAAGTGACCGGTTCGTCATGACTGCCTTTATGCGGCACGCGGCCTCGAATTGCAGCGGCTAGGGGGGGGGGCGACCAGTCGAGGGACGGCTCAGACACGGACGCGCCACAAAGAACGCAGGGAGGGGATCCGAATGCGCGGTGCTAAGACTCTGTTTCGGGTGACTTTTCTGCGATCGCGGGGCCTCCGAAGGTCGAGGGTCGAAGGTCGAAGGTCGAGGGTTCGGGGGGATACGCTATCGTGCCGAGGTTGGGGAAATGTAATTCGTCCGATCGGCGTCAGTCGCAAGACAATCGAGTCCAGAATCGCAGCCGGAGAAGAAGCAATGTGAGTCGAGGAAGGGAGGGAAGCGTTGGGGTGGGAGGCGGTGGGTGTGAGGTGGTTATTATTACGGTGACGAGAATAAGGAGAGCGGAAATTCGGTCCCAATTATGCGACGGAGGGATGGCCAAACAGTAGCGCGTGGAGCAACAATGAGTGACGATGAGATCAACCGTACGACAGAAACGAGACGCGAAGAAGTGAGCGAGTCGAGGCTAGGGATGGACAACAGGTGGTGCTGGTGCTGGGTATCACAACCCCTTTACACGGACCGGTTGAGGAAAACGTTGGGGGCAACGGGCAAGCACGGCAAACACCCGTCGACGGCGAATGGCGAATGGCGAACGGGATCGTGCCCGTTGGACGTGAAAAAAGTCATTTGCCATTGGAGACGCGCACTACGGCGTCATCGTGGTCAACCATGGAGGGCTAGGGGGGGGGGCCGAACCGGACCATGGCCCGTGGGGTGCCATCCAGGTGTTCTGGAACACTGCTGATTGGCGCCGTCGTGTTCCCAGCGAACCGGAAATCCAGGCGCAGCAAACTGGCCGCAGGGGGGGGTCATCGCTGATGACAGGGGCCGCCGTCGCTGCTGGGGACTCTCCCAGAGAAACATCTCCCCCAATTCGAGCTCGCCATTGGGTCAGCAGACCGCCCCCCTTTTCCATCTCGACCACGCTGCCGTCGTGCTCTGCGATCCCGTGACTGCCGTCTCCCCACCATGTCAGCGATCCCGAGAATCGGCGTCGTCACTCCATCTGGCCTATCAGCTAAATTGCCGGATTGAGTGACTTGGAAGCCAAGATGAACCCCACGGGGAAGTTGGTTCGGGGCTGTTGGTAAAGGCGTATCCGTCCCGCGTACACAACCTGCGTGACAATGGCCAGAACAAACGCCTGTGGGACCTTGTCGACGTAAACTCGGAGGCTTAGGGATGACCACCGCTGTGCTGGTTACCCAGTATGGACCTAGCTGTTGGCGGATTTCATCTCGGCGGGTACACGGCTCATGTGTCACCATCAGCATGTTTGGCGAGTCTACCCAATGCGAGAGGTCTCAGCAGGATCCCAAGCTCGCAGGAGTCCATTTCCCCACATCCCACCAAGGAAATACGACAGAAACGCTCCCTTGCAGTCAGAAGCAACACCCCCAAGATTCGTCATCTCAACAAGCAGGTAACTCGTCGAAGCCGTTTTGGCAGCTCGATTTTAGACCTAACGAGTAACCCGACCCATGGAACCCAACCCAACCAACCTCCAAACCCCCACAGCTGACCCCCAAATCACCACCCACCATGCCCGTCACGGAACTCGCCCTCCTCCACCTCCCCCCTCCCCCCCCCGGGCGTCGCCCTCTCGCACCTCCGCGCCGCCCTCGCCATCCAAAACCACTGGCACGCCCAGACCTACCCGCACCTCCCCCCGACCTTCCCCGGCTCCGTGTGCTTCCAGTCCATCTCGGACCTGACCGAGATCTTAATCACGGCACGCTGGGAATCGGTCGCCGCGCACTGGGCGTGGATCAACAGCCCGGACAACGCCGGCGTCATGGGCACGCTGGGGCCGTACATCTTGCAGCAGGGCAAGGAAGACTTTTCGCTGCTTCACGTGGGGGGGATATCTTTGGGGAGGCGCCGGTTGCTGGGGCTGGGGAGGGGGTGGGGTTGATGGAGAGTCCGGCGGTTAGCGTGTACTGGGTGGAGGTGGAGGGGGGGAGGGAGGAGTTTGGTGATGTTGTGGAGGAGTGGAAGAGGTACTTGGCGTCGACGACGGCTCCGTATATGGTTAGGGGGGGTTGGCGGGAGGATGCAGAGTTGGAGGAGAGGCAGGAGTATGTGGTTGTCGGTGGGTGGGAGAGCGAGGAGAGGGGGAGGGAGACTGAGCAGAGTGGTCAGGTCGCGGAGATCAAGAGGCTCGGGACTTTGAAGTCCAAGTATTACAAGCGCATCTTGTAAAGAAGGGGAACGAAGCAAGAGGCGATCACAGAGGCGGACCGGAAGGAGGACACCGTCAGGAAGACACCGTCAGGAAGAGACCGTCAGATTGGCTGACTGATGAATGCGATTCTTTCGTAGTCCGTATCCCGAGAGACTTGTTATCAACAAGCCCTCAGGGGCCTGCGTGGTGCCGTCCCAACTCCCAAAATCCCGAGACGCCGTCTTTCCGTGAGCCCAGTCCCAGCGGAGTGGAACTGGGCCGCCCTAATTGCCATGCAATGTATTCCCCATGCCAGGCCCTTCTCGTCGTCGTCATTCGTCATCACGCCTCAACCGTCGAAATCCTCCATGCCTCGGATGGTGATGCTCAAGCAGACTTGTTCGACTTGTTCTTCTTGGGGACGTCCTTGATCTTCAGACCTGCACGTCGTGTTAGTCTGGGTTCCGACAGCGTCCGCGCTCGGCGGGGCGGAGTGGTGGCTGTCGTACTGGGGGGAAGGCTCTGCTTGAGCTTCTCGGCCTTCTCAGAGTCCTTGAGGACAAGGGTGTACAGGTGCCTCTGGCAGCGGACCTTGAACTTGATCTGCTGGGTGCCCTTGTTCTTCTTGATGCGCGCGGCTGCGTGGTCCAACTGTCAGAATTTCATCTCGGAAAGCCCCTCGGGGGTGGTCGAGCGGGCAAGCACATACACGAAGCATCGCTTCTCCGGCAGATCTCGATGAACTGGTCGATTTTGTCAGCAGACGTTCGAGGGGGGTGGACGCATGCAGTGCCGTACCTTCTTGATATCTGCGATTTCTTGAGGCATGTTGGCGGTTGGTCGGGTGTTTGGGACTGGGTCTGAACAGGAGCAAAATTTCGCGACGTTGACGGGATTTTGGCAAGTCAAAATCTAAAAGTGTGTGGGCGGCACATGGGCGGCCCACTGTTCCTAAATTGCGGAGACGGGTCTGTATTTTGCTTCTCTGCCGAGGAGTTACGGCCCAAGCGCCCCCCCATCTCTGTCAACAATTGGGCCCAGACGCCGGTATCGTGGGGATACCTCCGGCCGCGCGCATTTTAGCAAAACACAGGGCTCATCTTAGGCGGAACTGGGCGGTCAGTCTGCGCTCCCCTCATTGCTTGGCAATAACCTACCTGTGCCTGTTGGGGTGTGGCGTGTGTGTTCTGTGGCGTCATCACCAGAAGGACACCTGGAATCAACAGCAAGATTCATTGCCACCCAGTCAGGGCTGGGGATACATATATATCACCCGAGTTCCGTGCTATGGACCCCATAGGCACATAATCAACCCACAATATCAAGACATAGCAGCAGTACCTACCTGCCTACCTGCGCTGCAACAACATAAGTTGGCTCAGCCACATATTCACAACAAAGATGCCGACCCCGCTTGACAACGTGATGAAGTCCAAGGTGAGTTCGCCGATGACGAGGATCACTTCAGCGCTGACCACAAATACAGAACGCTTTCTTGGCGTACGCGGGCCTCGTCACGGGTGTAGCCGTCTGGGCGATTTGGGGCGGCGACCTCATCCCTCAGCGCGGAGCGCCAACAGGACATCCTGAAACTTGGTCGGAGGAAGAGTTGCGCACTTGGTTGCGGGAGGTTGGTCGCCAGCTCACAAACAACTTACAGCGCCGTGTGCTTGATCGCTAACCGCCAGTCGCCAACACAAAGCGGAAAATCAGGTTCTATGTTTCGGAGCCCCGCGAAAAGCTGCTGGAGAGGGTACTTACAAGTGTGAGGTCTGAAGAGCAAAAATAGGAGGATACAGTGTAAGTCGCAAAGGGTCTCTCGTTCTGGGGCACAAAAAGACACCCTAGAACCATGATGTCTCCTAGAGGGGTAGATGGGCAACCTAGGAATCGAACCTGGGTTTCTTCGGGACCGTCGAGGATCACAACGAAGCGTACTGACCACTGTGCTAGTTGCCTTGCTGCTTGACGGGCTGTCGGTTGGAATATGCGCCTTGAGATGGAGTTGGGAGCATCGGTTACTGCAGACCGTCTGCATATCCAGTGGCACGTCCACGGAGACATTCTATTCCGACGTTGGTCGTCCTGAGCGGAGCGTGTTGGGGAGGGGAGATAGTACTTACCTACAAGATGAGAAGGCCTAATAAAAATATCCTTTGACCATCCCCCAGCGTGGAAGGGATTCATGTTTGTTTGGTGTTCAGTTGCACGCAATAAAAAATAAAAGCGGACAAACTGCTCGTGCTTCAAAGCGTTGGATCTAGTGTCGGTGAATTACAGCCAATCAGACGCCCCATCAGCGGCAGCTCGGCCAAGCCCCAATCCCTGCAGCATGCCTGGATTGCGACGCGCAAGGACAGCTTGTTCTGTCGGCGAGGGTTGAATGCGGCAGAGGCTCGTCTCTCTTTCACGCTTCTCCCCTCCTCAACCACCACCGCACCAGCTGGGTTTCCCGTAAACCAGCTTCCCCAGCGACGCGAGGTCGCACCCGACCGTCAAGATGGATTTCCTCCAGGTGCGTCTCGCGCAGAGCCCAGCCCAGCCTCGACCCTGCCCCCATGCTGACCAGACGTGCCGTGAATAGCGTCTTGCAAAGTTTCTCGACCGACCCCTCTTCCCGTGGAAGCGATTGATCGTTGGCTTCTCCGTCGCCCAATTCGCCTTTGAGGGCTTCCTGGGCCTCCGTCAATACCGTGTTCTCCAGAGGACCAAGCCGCCCAAGGTCCTCGAGCTCGAGGTCTCGCAGGACGTCTTCGACAAGAGCCAGGCCTATGGACGGGCCAAGGCCAAGTTCCAGCTCGTCAACAACCTGTACTCGCAAATCCAAAACATCGCCTTCTACCAGCTCGACATTCTCCCGAAACTGTGGTCATGGACCGGAAACCTTCTGCTCCGCTTTGCGCCCGCTCGCTTCTCGGGCGAGATCTCGCATTCCATCGTCTTCATCCTCACCTTCATGTTCATCAGCCAGGTTCTGTCTCTCCCGACCAGCATCTACCAGACCTTTGTTCTCGAGGAAAAGTTTGGCTTCAACAAGCAGACGCCCAAGCTGTTCATCACGGATATGATCAAGTCCAACCTCGTCGCTGTCGTCCTGGCCCCGCCCATCCTCTCTGGTTTCCTCGCCATCATCCAGAAGACTGGTAACCAGTTCTTCTATTACCTCTGGCTGTTTGGCGCCGCTCTCCAGGTGTTTATGATTACCATCTACCCGATTGCCATTCTGCCGCTCTTCAACAAGCTATCCCCCCTGGAGGAGGGCAAGCTCAAGACAGACGTCGAGGGTCTCGCCAAGAAGCTCAACTTCCCCCTCCACGAGCTCTACGTCATTGATGGAAGCAAGCGCAGCGCCCACAGCAATGCCTACTTCTTTGGTCTTCCCTGGAAGAAGCACATTGTCATCTACGACACTCTCATCCAAAAGAGCGAGACCGAGGAGGTCGTCGCTGTTCTCGCCCACGAGCTTGGTCACTGGAGCTTGGGCCACACCACCAGGCTCTTTGGCATCTCCCAGGTATGTTGTCGTCGTCAGAGAACAATTGAGCGCAATACTGACAGTCCTAAGATCAACCTATTTTACATCTTTACCCTCTTCTCGGTCTTTGTCAACAATCGCTCTCTGTATGCCGACTTTGGCTTCACCAAGCAGCATCCCATTATCATTGGGTTCCTGCTCTTCTCGGACATCCTGGGCCCCATGGACACCGTCATCAAGCTTCTGATGAACATTCTGAGCCGTCGCTACGAGTTCCAGGCCGATGCCTTTGCGCAGAATCTTGGCTTCAGCGGCGAGCTGGCCCGCTCGCTGATCAAGCTCCAGATCCAGAATCTCAGCACCATGGATGCCGACTGGGCGTTTGCCACGTACCACTTTTCGCACCCCATTCTCTCGGAGAGACTCAAGGCGCTCAACTGGCAACCCACCGAGAAGGTGGAGACCAAGGCGGATGAGAAGACGGATGTTGCAACCACTACGGGGAGAGACGAGTTGTAAGTTGGAGGCGCGGGTCGTAAAATTTGGGAGGGCTAAGTTGGAATAACTCTGATCGGTTTCTTTAATAAATCACAAGAAAATAGCGACGAGTTGTTCATGTTTCCTGTTGAGTGATTGCCATATAAAGCAAGGCGTATGCTCGGCATGCTTCCATAAAAGCTACTCTACATCGATGCATGTTAGTAGCACTTGTAACCAAAACCCACCCTGGTTATATCTGTTTCCCGGAAAGAGGAAGAAATGGATCACAGCAGTCTACCCCCCGCCAAGCCACCCCGCTCACCACACCATCGCGTCACAAACATCAACCATCACCACCTCTCTCCCCGAACCTCAACCCCCAAACACAACAGCCCAACCACCCTCACCATGTCCCCTCCCACCCTTCCCACCCCCGGCGGTTCAGCCACCCGCGCCCCCCTCGCCTTCTTCTCCCGCGCCCTCCTCGCCTTCCAGCACTCGGCCTCCCCCTTTCAAGTCATCTGCACCCTCAACCCACCCCCGACCCAGACCCAGACCCGCCCCCGCACTCTCATCATTCTCGACTCCTCCTTCAACCCCCCGACCCTCGCCCACCTGCATATGGCCACGTCCGCCCTCCGCGCCGCCGCGTGCAACAAGACAAACTCGCCGCGGCTGCTACTGCTGCTCTCGGTGCAAAACGCGGATAAACCCGTCAAGCCGGCGGGCTTTGCGCAGAGGCTGGCGATGATGCATGTCTTTGCGGGGGATGTGCAACGGAACGTGGGGGATGATTTGGTAGGGGTGGGGGTGGATATCGGGCTGACGAGCAAGCCGTACTTTCATGATAAGAGTCGGGTGATTGCTGAGTCGGGGGGTTATGAGGACGATGTAGGGCAGGTGGTGCTGGTGGGGTTTGATACGCTGGTGAGGATCTTTGATGCGAAATACTACGGTGGGGAGGAGGGCATGAGGCGGGAGGTCGGGGGGTTTCTGGGGAGGGCGAGGTTGAGGGTGATGATGAGGACGGGGGGGGAGTGGGGGGGTGTGGGGGAGCAGAGGGGGTGGGTGGAGGGGTTGGAGGATAGGTGGAAGGGGAGGGTTGAGTTGGTGGAGGGGGGGGACGTGGGGGGGGTGAGCAGTACGATTGCGAGGGAGGCGGTCAGGGTGGGGGATTGGGAGGCGGTGGGGGGGCTGGTGACGGAGGGGGTGAGGGAGGTGATTAGGGAGGAGGGGGTTTATGGGGAGTGATGGCTGGAATATATCAATTGTGACCTTGTCGGTTTTCATCGCTGTGGCAGTGAAGATGAAGCCATGGAAAGCGGTTGAATCGAGGAGCTCCAATGTTCTGCTCAAGGAATAACATGGGCCGACTTTAAAGATGCCTTCTGCCACCTGAACTCGAAGATGGGACGCACTGTGCCGGTAGAAGAGTCATGGTTTGTTTTCTTCCCCGAGCAGTCCGATTCAAGAAGCTGAAGGCTACCTCGCTACAATACCGAAGGTAACCAAGGTAAGCTCAAGGTGAGCATGTCCCACAGCCATGACTCTTGCTGCCACCATTTGCCAGCTGACAGTAGATGTCCGCATGGCGGCCTGGTGGGGCACCGAAAAATTCGCACTCACGCACTGACCACTTCATCGCCCTATATATCCCCATCCTCCCTCGCTCTCTTCCTGCCCTTCTTCTTTTTTTTCCTCATGTCGATCTTACTTCATAGAATCATTTCTATAGTAGTCGTCCTCTTTTGTGTTCCTTAACGGAGCCACAGATCCCACCCGGGTTGATGATCCATATCCTCGACTTGCCCAACAGTTAGCACTCTTCACTCTCGCCCTGCCTGCAAAGGTGGCGGTCTCTCGCAAGAGGGGCTGTATAGAGAGTGTGCGATGATCTGGACCCTGCCGCGAGGTCTTGCCTTTGGGCGCTCTGGCGGGGTGGGTGTCGATGGAAGTCTGACCGGCCTTTTTTCTCACTTTTCATTGCGCTCCTGGGCTTTGCCTGGGACGTGAAGAAGATGGGGTTCGTAGATGCCTTTTCCGACCGCGGAGCATGTCCTTCGTCCGGCGCTGGATATTAACCTGTCAATGCATCCCGAATGCTACCATTCCCCAAGCCAACTGCCGAACCCATGTGATGGTGGCTGCGAGGGCGAGACCAAACTGACCTGTTGAAGGTTATGGCGATCCCCAATCAGCTCCTCGAACCGGCCAGCCTTCGTCACATCCGCCGGTACTGGTGACGGGATATGCGGCAGTATGATGTGCTTATCAGAACGGGACGGCAGGTCTCGCCCCGCCCCGCCGAGACCGACCTCTGCCGGTACGTGCTCCATTGGAATCGGAGAAGCCCTTGATTCAAGCATCCAACAAGTGCCGTGAAGGACCATCTTGGCGAGACGTCACGGGCTGGGGGCTTCATCTATCGAGTACAATCTCATTACAGATGGTTGGAACACAGCGAGGAAGACAATACTAACATCTTGATGGCCACCCAAGTAGGACTGTGTCGCCATTCGGAAAATTCCTGGTGTGGTACCCCTGACGGCCGACATGGACATGCACACCCTCTGGGTAAACTGCCGAAGCCGCCGTCGCCAACTTCTCTGGAGCATGATTGGACACTCGCCGTCGCGTATCAAGAGCTTCATTTCGAGGGCGCGATATGCTGCTCGGGAGGTCTCTGGCGGACCTCACAGCTCGGTCACCGCATATGATGGCGACATGTCTTGTCTCCTGGGACCATCCGGCCGGTATCACCCTTTCCGGAAGGAGGTAGTTGGTCAAACTCTCAGGAGAGCCTCCAACCTGTGAGCCAAGATAACCGATATTACAGCACTCTGTTTGGCACCAGAGGGGCCATGGCGAGCTTCATGGACGTGATCTCGAACTCGGGCGGCCAAGATCAAACAGGTCGTCGCCAGTATCATGTACTGTCTAGCATTCTCGGGATCGTGAGGGGTCGACGGCAAATCTACGTCAGCTCATATCGACGCCCATGGCC